AATTGTGTATTTTTTTAAAACACGTTACATATTTCAAATTGATAGCATGCGTTAACGCAGTAATTTTGACAGCACTAGTTTATATACATATACTTACATTCACGTTCATATGTATCAGCTTGTCTGTTGCGCCACTTTTTGACTGTTTGGCGCCATCTAGTAAATAAATAATATGTAGGTTAGTGTTTGCTGTAATTAGCCGGGTTCATTTCTGTCAGCTTTGCGTTTAATGAAAGAATTAATAAACTATTACGGCTCAGAAGAATGTTTTTTAGCTAGCAGTATTAAGCAGGATGAGGTACATCCAGGATGGTTGTTTTGCCAGAATAAACGGTTCAGTACAATGGAAATACTATGAAAGTCATGGTTACAGGTTTCCAGCAATTTTCTAAATATCTCCTTTTGAGTTTGACAGAAGAAACTCAAAGTTATTTATAAAAATAACGAAAGTATTTAATATTTGGTCAGATTTGCTAGAATTATAACTTATATATTTCTATATCTAAACTACGTTAGTTTTACTTTAGTTACTTTTTAATAATTTAGATTCTTATTGATACTATTTATTTAGTAAGGTCACTGGCAGGTATATAAGCATTTCACTGCATATTGTACTGTGTAAAGGCTGATTTATACTTCTGCGTCAGGTGCACACGTATGCTACAGCACAGCCAACGCATTGACGCATAGCCCTTCACCGTGGCCATCGGCGTCGCTGACTTGCACCTCTCAAAAATTGTAACCACATGTTGCAACGACACGTAGTGCAAGCTCTGATTGGTCGGCTTGATATCGCTGACGAGTGAGGGCGGGGCCGAGAGTCGTGCCAGCATGGGAGCCCGATGGAGCGATTGTTTACAAGTGTGGAGTCCCGTAAAGGAGCTCCGGATGGAAAGTCTTGTTTTGTGTTTACCTCATAGTTAAAGTTGTTTCACATCCGCCTGTTCCTGCCTTAAAATGAGCGAGTTTGAGCCACTTGTACATTCAGGAAGTTTTCAGGAAAAGCAAAACACCAGCGAAGAAACTCGACACAGAGAAACATTTACACCACACTGCCAACTAGCGTTTCGGAAGTGTTAATGCAGACCAACAGAGACAGCGCACAGAAGTGTTAAGCCTGGTTTATACTTCTGCGTCAAGTGACCGGCGTAACCCGCGGCGCATGCAACGCGCGTAGCTGTGCATTTATACTTCTGCGCGCTGTTTCTGTAAATCGAAAGTTAAAAATGACAAACCCGAAATTGCATGAAACTCTCAAGGAAACTCTGGAGAGTCTGGTAATTCGACATTAACTATTTTATACCGAAACTTG